GCGGCCCAAGAGGCCCCCAAGATCGCTTCCCAGACGGGGGACCCGAATGGCCGTTTCGAGTCCTAGGTCCCGAGAGGCTCCCAGGAGGCCCGAAGAGGTTCCCAATAGGCCCCAAGAGGCCCACGAAAGGTCTCCAGGAAACCCGAAAAGGCACCCAAGGGGCTCCCAAGAAAGGGCCCCAAGAGGCTCCCAAGAGGCACCAAAGTCCCTCCCCAGATGCCCCCGAGTGCTCTCCGAAGAGACCCCGAGAAGCATCCCTGAGAGCTCCGGCCCACGTCAGCGTCGTCGCCGCCGCCGCCGCCGTTGTCATTGTCGTCCCTGTTCAGGGTCGGCGGCACTGGTCGCAAGGCCGTCGCAATATGGCTCCAAGCGCCCCTTGGCAAAGAAAACGACAACACATTCCACGCGCGCACACACGTCGAAAGCGTACCAGACACACTCGTTTTGCCCCCTATTCAACGTAATAACATTAAACACCCATTGGTTTTCTGTTTCCCATCAGCAGTCTTTGAGACTCTCTGCCCGCGCGCACGTGCTGAAGAAGCCATAGAGCAAGCACATCATTTTGGCAATGTCGCCCACAACCTGCATTCTCCTTGGCATCGCTCGGACGTGTGTATTTTTCCTTCGGCGAGGACCATCGAGGAGCATCCTTGATCACTTGGCGAAAAAACCACGCACGAAACCGAAAAAAACAGGGAATGGACGTCCGAGCGATGGCGAGATTTAGCATGCGCCCAGTGCACAACTCCGCATCAAGCGAGCACGTGCGGGTCACATGCGCGCGCCGCCACGTGCTCGTACCTAACTCCTTCTGACACCAGTGGTGGTGGAAGCATTTCACGAGGAGGAGGAGGAAGAGGAGGAGGATTTCACGACATTGCTCTTCAAGCACAGATGGCAACCTAGGTGATCTTCCCAACAGAAGTCTGACAGAGTTCTTGAACTCCTGCGCGCGCGCAGACTCGTCATTCGCACCAGCACCATCGTCGATCGCCACCATTGCCGCCACCACCATCACACTTGCACGCCGGTCGTTGAAGGTAGGGATTTTTGGATGTCCAGGTCCCAATCTACTTCAAGCGCCTTCCTACTTCAAAAGCAGATATGCTTTCGCTGTGTCCTCTTAATATCTGGGAGGGCCTGAAACCAATCTACCTTATCCGCCTTCCTACTTCATGTGTTTACCTACTTCTTCCGACCTTTCTGCACCTTGACCAGCGACACATGAACATCAATATCGTCATTGTCGTCACCAGCACCGGTGCCGTCATTGGCCTTGCAGTCGTCAGCGTTATCATCGCCATCGCCATCGCTAGCATCATCACTGTGCCGCCGTCGTCGACGTCATCGTATTTTGCGCCCGCGCGGGTCACGACCCGAACGGAAGTGCCACCACGCCAGCGCGGACCTGGAGGGGCGCCAGGAAGTTCCCAGCGGTGAGCGCCATCTTGGCCGAAGCTGTTACGCGCGAGGGTGCCTGCAGCCAGCGTGGCCGTAGAGATGCGCCAGCAAGTGCAAGTCAGTAACTGTAATCGCGGTCGCTTGGTTTTGCCAACAAGTTGTTGGTGGGAGGGTTGGATGTTTGCGCGAGCGTTGGGGTAGACGATTTCAAATTCCACGTGGTAGATTGCGCCACATAGGTCACACCATATATCTTACACCACAAACTTTATCAGTCAGTTTGCTGCCCCGCATTACCCACACCATTGTTAACATGTTAGCCATCGTGGACCCCGAACAGTGAGTTGTTGCATCCTATGCGGCGTAATCTGGGTGGTGCAATCATTGTGGGGAGCAATCCGGGTGGTGCAATCCATGTGGTGTTGTTTATGTGGCGCAACGCAATTCAACACAACGCGCACCAATACAAAGCACCGCAACGCAATCCAGCGCAATGCAAGTACTTGCTAAGCGATGCAATACAATGCAATGTACCGCCAGGCACCGGGAACCAATGCAAAGAAGCGGAAAACATTGCAAAGCATTGCAATGCATTGAAATGCAGAGCAATACAACGCAATGCAATGCAATGCAAACCACTGCGAAACATTGCAAAGCGATGCAGTGCAATGCAAACCAATGCAACGCAGTGACACGCAACGCGACGCAGTGCAAAGCAGCGCAAAGCAATGCAAAGCAATGCAAATCAGAGCAAAGCAATGCAAAGCACCGCAAAGCATTGCAGAACAATGCAACGCAATGCAGAACAAAACACCGTACTGCAAAGCATTGCACATCAGTACAACGCGATGCAACGCAATGCTAATCAGCGCGGCGCACCGCAAAGCATTGCAGCACAATGATGACAGTTCAAAGCAATGCAGAGCAATGCAGGGCAATGCAAAGGAATGTTCAGCAATGCATTGTAATGCAATGCAAATCAAATCAATGAGACGCAGCGCAAAGAAATGCAACGTAACAAATGAAATGCACCGCAACCGGTCAAAAGCGAGGTAGGTTTGCTTCCCCCCGAACCAGGGCCCAGCTGCCTCAGAGGCGAAGCGAGAACCCCCCACTGCAAGTACCGATTTGGGCGCCCGGGGTAACTCGGGCCCGGGGTGACTCGGACCCGGGCGAACGCGGGTTCGGATTCCCGAAACAGTCGATCCGAGTTAGCCCTGGCCCGAGTTACCCCTGATGCTTTGGGGCTCTGGGCGCCCGATCGGGGGTAACTCGGGCCTGGGGTAACTCGTGTTCGGATTCCGGAAAAACGAACCCGTCTTAGCCCTGACCCGAGTTACCCCTGATGATTCAGGGCTCTGATTGATTGGTGAGTCTTGCTATCTCATGACGACTTCACTGTCAAGCTGGTGTCACATGTCTTGCACCCCATATACCTCCATGATGCAGCCTGCACGCGCGTATCTTGCACCAGATGGACGCGCATCGAGAGTGCATCAATCTAGTGATTGGGTCCACGCTGGCAAACATGTACAGTCAAACACTCTAATAAGGACGCGCGACTTTGCTTAGGGTACCCTTGCGTCCTTGCTCTTCCCTGCTCTTGCGTCCTTGAGGTGTTCGTCGTCCGCCGCCCCAAAATCCCAACTTCGGCTTCCAAGGGTCTTGCGTCCTTACCGCGCGTCCTTATTAGGGTTTTTGACTGTATCAAACACCTCACGCCAATGAGTCGCATCGCTTCTGGAGGCCCTCCCGGGGGTCCCCTCGGAGCTCTCTGTAGGGGCTCTCCTCGCGGCCTCTGCTCTTGGCGTCCTCCTCGGCCGCCTGCGAGGCTTTGTGGGGCCGCCTCGGGCCCTCTGGGCTCCGTTCGGAGCCTCCTGGGGCCATTCTCGACACGTTCATTCGGATGCAACTCAGCCACGCGCAGAGGGGGGAGGGGGGAGGGGGGAGGGCTTCTTAGAAGCACCCCTGCTTCTTAGAAGGTGCGGGCCTTATCTATAGATGTAAGGCCGGCGCCTTCTAAGAAGCAGCCTCCTTCTAAGAAGACTTCCCCCCTCCCCCACCCCCTTTTGCGCACAGCCAAGCAACTCCTGGGAGGTCAACTTCTGATTTTGCCTTGGCCCGAAATCCGGCATCATCCCGCTTCATCCCGTCGAATCCGAGGCCCACTCTGGTGTCACAGCCTCCCAAGTCGATCTAGTCCTCCCACATCCTTCCGACGAAGACCTTCCAGTAGTTGCGTCTGAGCTTTCAGGAGGGCCCTCCTGTCCGCGCGGTGGCGTCCCCGGGCCGCCGGCAGCTTGGACCGCCCCGGGACTTGAGAGACAAGGCCCCCTGGCAGGCAGGAGACGGGACTCGAGAGACAAGACGTATGTTCAGGAGGGGAAACACACACACACACAGACACAATGAATCGTCGATTCCCCAGATAATATGGGAACATATGGGAAGTGGGCGGGAAGACAATGACCCAGAACATATGGGAAAAGATCGGGAATCCTCTTATCTGTGTGCATTTAGTTGCATGTCGCAGGGCCCCTTTCAAACATGGAGACAGGACTCGAGAGACAAGACTTCTGATGCCCCAACCTACTCTAGACTGAATCACCATACAGAACTTCGAGCACCAAGAAAATACCGACACTGGACGGTCTTCACGTGTCGGGCGCTGGGAGGCGATGCTCGTTCGACGCTGTTTCGAGACAGGACTCGAGAGACGATCAGGCGATCGCAAGCATGGATCAAGGGGGCGTGGTTTAGCGACGGGTCCCGTTTCCACGGAAAATTTCGGATTTCCGCCGCCGACCGAGGCAGCACCGGCCGTATTTTGGGGAGGGCACCTCCCCCGATCTATGGATTAGGCGACCTCGCGCCAAATCCATGGATCGCTAATCCATATTTGCGCGCCCCCGACTTGAGACACAAGACGCACATAAACAGCAGAACACCACACAAACAAAAGTCATCATTGTTGCCCCCTGGCGGGCTGGATGTCGCACGGGCCTCGCTCACGTGTCCACGCAAGGGCAGTACTCACTGTGGGACGTGTTGGGCTCGGCACTCTCGCTCTTTCCTGCTGTGTTCCGCCTCGTTAATCTGTCCGCCTTTCCGTCTTTTGTTGCTGTGTTGCGCCTCGATAATCGTTGGCGTTTCCTTTGTGCGCATGCTATTTCGATGCTGTGCTTCTGCTCTCAGTGCGGTTGCTTCGTGGCATCTTGCAGGTGACCTTGTCCTGCTATCGTTGCCGGGCTGCTCTCCCCACTGCAGTCAACCATAATGGTAAGGATGGGGCAACTTTCCAGGGCTACCCTTGCATCCTTGCCCCTTCGGTATTCAGCATCTTTCGGCATCATGCTGCGCTCCGCACGGAAAACGTCAACATGGCGCTCCAAGGCCCTTGCATCCTCACAGTCGGCCCGGATTAGTAGGTCGACCCTGCCAGCTCAAGGGCACCCTTGTGTCTTGTGCCTCGCCTTCTTACACTCTTATGGCGATGTGGCCCTCGGGAGGGTCTTGTGTCCTCTCGCGTGTTCTCTCCAGTCAAGCCCGACTGCACCGCGCATCCTTATTGTTCCTGGTCGAGTGCACCTGTGCAGGCGTCGACACGTCCGAGGGCCTCATAGTGCTCGAGCCCCTGGTCACGGGAGGGGGCCGCGCGGTCACCACGGGCAGCAGCGAGCACGGGTCGGGTTTGTGGAGCCGGGCGCCGCCGAGCCGCGCCCCCACCCTCGGGGCACATTTTTTTGGGGGCCCTCTTGGCGCCCCCTGTCAGTATCCTTTACGCGATCCCTGTTATCCCCATCCCCATCCCCTTCGAGACCCCTACCAAAATACCACCCCAGTTGGGGATGCACCCCTCAAAACCCGAAGGGAGCGGCCCATATCCCCATCTGGGGGGGGTAAAACGTCCAGTGGGGCCTAGGCCACGCCGCTGGGGATGGGGATCGGTTAAACGATACTCACTCTGGAGGGTGTCTTTGACCAGTTTGGGCCCCACTGAGGGCCCCTTTTGGGCTCTCTGGGACCGTCTTGAAAGCTCTTGGGCCGCACCTGGGCCGTCTTGGGATCCTGTTGAGTATATCCTTTTCGGTTGAAAGCCATGGATAGCCGCAATTCACTGGAGCACTCCTCGCATCTGGGGATTTTTACTTTTTCGAGAAGCGTACGCCATCCAGCCGACCCAAGAAGAGAAGATGTGCGGCTTCCGGCTTTGTCTGGGCTTCTTGGGAGCATCTAGGAGGTCTCGAGGGCCATCTGGAGGGAATACTTGTTGTCGGCCGTCTCGGGGTCTCTTTGGCCCTCTTGGGCGTCTCCAGGCTCTCCTGGGGGACCCTTCTGACCGTCTTGTTTTTCAGTTGTTTTGGTTTGTCAAAAGCCAGACAACGGGAGAATGCGATTACATGTCGAAAGACATCGCATCAATTTGAGTTTTCGGGGACTCTTGGGGAGTCTTCCGAGCCGTCTTGAGGAGTCTTGGGGGGTCTTCAGGACCTCGTGAGGCCTGTCCAGCGTGTTGGAGCCCTTCCCGAGCCGTCTTATCAGGCATCCTGGGCATCTTGGAGACCGCGGAGGATGAATGTCGAGGCCCTGAGGGTCCCGGACGCGCGTCGATGATCTCGTCGCCCCCGCCCCCCCCCGGCCCCACCCCTGGAGGGTTTCTCCGAAGGGCTTAGGCGACGCCTCCTCCTCCTCCTCCTCCTCCTCCTCCTCGCCCTCCCCGAAACCCTTTGGCTCAAGCCATTTTGGCTCAAGACGGAGCTTACCTCCCGTCCCGACTCCAGAGGCTCGAGGACCGAGGTGGAACGGCAGCCCGCCTCAGGCCAGGCTGTCTCGGTCCCAGGTTTCCAGCAACGCACAACCTCAGTTTCTTTCTTCTGCTGGTCGCCGCGGCGAACGGCCAGCACCCAGTCTCCCCGCAGCCATGGGAGGCTACAAGCAGTGGAAGAAATGCTACTGCCAGACGCCCAGCTGCTGGGGATGGACCTGGCAAGGGCATGGTGGTCACAAGCATTGTTCAGAATGCGGACGCAGTTTCAAGCCTCAGCCTCATCATTCCCATCCAGCAGGTGACAAATCGGCAGGACACGATGATGGTGGCAGCACCCAGCAGGCCCACCGCAACAGGTGGTCTCGCAGCCGTGGTGCATCCCGTGGACATGAGGCTCAACAGCAGCAGGATCATGGTCCCAAGACGTCCCTCGCTCCAGAGGGCACTGACCCAGCCAAGGACGACGTGGCCATCTGCATTCAGGCTGTCAACTTTTGGAAGAAAACGGTCGGCCAAGAGGGGAAACAGTACATCCAGGCCTGCGAAGACCTCCGCCTGGCCAAGACCAAGGCGCTCGAGGGCAAGTCGCTGGACGCCAAGACCCAGTCGCTGGCCGACCAGCTCCAGCGGCAGAAGCGCAGGCTCGAGTCGAAGAAGGGCGAAGTTGAGAAGAACCTCATCAGCCTGGACAAGGCCGCCGAGGTGTATGACAAGTCCGTGCAATCGTACAAGGAGCTGCTCGCCGAGGTCTCCCAGCTGGAGGCTCAGCACAGCGTGGCAGCGAAGGCAGCAGTGGCGGAGGCGGCTGCTCGCCTCAATGGCCCTGACAACAAAGAAGACACGACCTTGCTCAACTTTGTGGACAGTAGGTTCCCGCAGGGCCTGCCAGACCACATCAAGCAGGAGCTCGTGGAGGCCAACAAGAAGCTGGAGCAGGAGTGGCAGCAACACCAGCAGCAGCAGCAGCAGCAGCAGCCGCCGCAAGTGCTTCAACCTGGGGCGCCTGATGGTGGTGCTCAACCTGCTGCAGTCCAGACGCCCACTCCACCTGATCGACCTGGAGAAGGGCTCGGGCCTGCTGCAGCCGCCATGGAGGATGACAGCCACCGTGGCGTCATTCGCAAGCACGCGGGGAACGGCGAGCACCTGGTCCTCTCCACCGCCACGGGCATCCATTGCCTCAGCGAGGAGGCCCAGGGGGCGCAGGACCGCCTCGCCAAGCGCCAGGCCCGTCTTGCCGCTGTTGCACCTGGCGGCACAGGCTCGGGTGAGGCTAAGCCGTTGGATGGGTAACGACCTCAGAATATGCACGTTCAATTGTAGCAGTTGGATTGGAGTCCGTAAGTTCATGGTTTCCAAGGAGGCCAAGGAAATCCAGATTATCTGTTGCCAGGAGACGCGCATTCGGGAATATGATCTGGTCAAAGAAACGGAGTGGTGTGCTAACAGGGGATGGTTAGCAATTTTGTCGCCAGCTGTTTTGAGCACCAAGGGTTTTCCGTGTCAGGGTACTGGTGTACTAGTACGTTCTGGCCTAGATCTTGGAATTACCAAGCTACCTCTTCCTGAAGGTTTCCAGAAGTCTCGGGCTACTGTCGTCAGCATTGAGGCTCCAGGTCACCAACCTTTCTGTTTAGGATCGCTGTATCTGGCCGACTCCGTCGGCTTGAATGTGGAGAACCTCACAGTGCTGACCAGTGTTGTGCAGGCCGCCTCCGACCATATTTTGCCGCTCTTGCTAGCAGGAGATTTCAACGCGTGCCCGTCCAAAGTGATCGAAACGGAGTTCCCGACCAGGGCTGGGGTCCAGGTGATCGTTCCAGACACGCACACCTTGTACACTAAGAAGCCAAAGACAATTATAGATTATTTCATGGGGTCGTACTGTTTCGAGCACTTCTTGAAGCAGCCTAAAGTTCTAGTTGACTACCCGAGTAGTCCACATAGGCCAGTCGTGTTGGATATGGTGATTGGGGCCCCATATCTCATTCCCGTCCTGGAGCAGCCTCAGTTCATCCCAGTGGTCGCCCCTGTGGGTCCTCGCAACATGGTCCCACCGTGGTCTCGAAGTCTTGGGGCTCTGGATTGTCTGGAGGGACTTCTCGAGGAACGTGATCAATATGCCGTGTTTGGGGACACGGGGCAGTGTTTTCCTCTTCAGCCAGTTTCGCTTGATGCCTTAGTTGCTGCCGTGGACGCGGCGCATGGCTACCTAGTGGACGACATGTCCACCACGCTCAGTATCGTTACCGACACGCCGCTCAAAAGTAAGAGGCGCCGAGCTCAGGTGCCAACGATAAGATGGATACCCGCCAAGGCTGTCGAGGCCAAGGATAGGAGGAGTTGGAGGAATGCAGCAGCTACTTTTAGATGGTTAAGGAACAAAGTTACCAACATCAGGAGGGGAGTGGAGGAACAGGACCTCGAGGAGCTCCACCAGGCTCAGCTCGACCTCGCCTCACCTCCGGCTGATTTGGAAGTAGTCGCAGAGTTTGAAGCTTTAAGAACCAGTGTACGCACGTGTATCCAGGCTACGCTTTTGGATGCCACCCACAGTGAGCCCAACTTCGAGCTCATCGCCACCGTTTTCGAAGATCTGGACTCGGAGATTTCAAAAGCTTTGGACCGTGAAATCGCCAGGGACCGCTCCGACGACCGTCAATCCTGGAAACTTTGGGTCACAGAAGCCATGGGGAAAGGTGTTGGGTGGGCCCGCAGATGGAGTAGTAGACTGACGGCTTGGCAGCCCTCAAGAGTCTGGAGTTCTGCTAAAGCCCGCTGGTCTGGTCGTCCGATCGATATGTTGGAGGCGGAACAGCAACGTTTAAGTAAGCTGTGGCGAGCTCGACCTGAGGAGCCTGCCCTTCTTCAAGCCGAATTGCGAGGTGAAGACCTTGCAGACATTTCAGCAGATCAGTTGCGCGCAGCCAGTCGCAAATTCAGTAGTACCACTGCTAGGACCTGGGACGGGATCCACCCTAGACACTTCAGCCTCCTCGAGGACGCCCAGCTGGATATTGTGTGTAGGCTCCTTAGGTCCATCGAGAAGATAGGGGCCTTTCCGACGCAGATAAGAGCCATCGTGACGGTTCTGATCGAAAAGCACAAACCAGGTCCTAACCCAGGTCCGAGCTACAGGGGTATAGGTATGATGCCTGGTCTTTGGAGAGTTTGGGGCAAGCATCGTCAGCTCGAGTTTCGTGCCTGGGAACGAGCTCACCCTCGTAGATATCTAGCTCATCAAGCTGGCAAAGGTGTTTTGGAAGTTGGTTTCGAGCAAGCAATGCAAGCAGAAGGGCAATTCTTGGGAGATAAGAAAGTTTTCTCAGCTGCTGTTCTTTGGGATTTATCCAAGTATTATGAATATGTGGATAGGGGACTCTGGAGGGACAGAGCTCAGGATACCAATTTCTCGGATTCCCTGGTAGTCATTATTTGCAACCAGTACCAGGCGCCCAGGACAGTAGCCACGAGATCCTCAGCCCTACCTGCAGGTTGCCCAGAGAGAGGTATAGCTGCAGGCTGCTGGGCCGCCACTTTTGTTGTACAGCAGTACTGCTTGCCGCCCATCGACATCTGGGTGGCTCAGAACCCCAGAGTGCAGCCTACCATTTTCATTGACGATTTCCTGCTTGCCAGCCACAACAGCAAGCCGAACAAACTGATAGCAGATCTAGTCACGGCCTCAGCCAGTATGCATCAGTCGATCGTCGTCGATCTTAAGTGTGATATCGCTAAGCACAAGGCTGCTGTTGTGGCTTCGACGCCGAGGATCAAGGCCGATCTTGCGACCAAGCTCGGCCAGTGGGCTGGCCCTCAGGCTGGTCTGGCCGAGACGGCAGCCACTAACTTAGGAGTCGACTTCACTG